GAGAGGCCTGACTCAGAGACTTATAGACACAGCCATAAATAAACAAATACGTATAATCTACACCCAAAATAATCTTATGTTATTAGAAGATAAATTGAACTATGAGGAAGAGAGTAAAAATCTATTAGAGAAATTTGAAAAAGAACCAAGCATTAATTAAAATACATTACTGGGGATAAAATTAGAAATTAAGTAAAAAGAGGGGAACTGTTAGAAAAGAGCATAAAACCTACATGTGATTTATTCCCACCAGGAAGTTTAAACATTTTAACAGTAGGGTATTAACAAAGGGCCATGTGGTGAAAAATATGCCGGGAAGCTGCTCAGGGTGGGGGTGGGGATGGGACTGGGGAATTGGTAAGGGCCTGACTATACCTGTTTGATTTAAGTTTTTTAAATCTACCATTAAAATTAAGACAAATATAAGGGAAGGATATAACTGGCTTAGGCGAATATGAAAGGATATAACAGGGAAGAATGTGAACCCTGCAGTACTCAGCCAATGAGGAAACAGGAGGGACTAGGGCACTAGGAGATAAATTACTGGCACCAAACTCCCCAGGTGTGCCTGCCCACCAGACACCCGTTCTTGCAAGACCATCATTATAGTCTCGCTCTGCTGTTCTCTTTGTCTGTCCACTTGGCTCCAAGGCTTGGGACCGGATCCTTCTTTTACTAATTTCCCAGTTACCATTCAGGATCTTGGAGGATTTGCTGAGCAATTTCACAAACCACCTCATTTAGTCTAGAAACTCCCTTTTCTTCTCATGCCATTGCTTGTGTTGGGGGAGAAGTGCTGTGTATTTTCCTCGGTTCTTGTCCCCACCATGACAAAGAATTGAACAGCAGAGACACAATAGTTAAGCAGAGTAAGTTTTATTTAAAGTTATTTAGAAAATGCAGGCAATGTCAGAGAGAGAGGAGCTCCCTGAAATGTTGGAGAGAAAGAGTGTAAGATTAAAGGTTACACACTCAGAAAGTTCAGGTGACCTCAGAGAGAGGAGCATGCTGAAAGGTTGGGGGTTCCTCCTTTTAAGGATTTTTCAGGGATGTGACAAAGGGCTAGGGGTGTGGACTTAAGTGGTCTCAAGTATCTTTGGGAATTGTTAAATCCCTCCTTCATATTTAAATGATAATCGTGCTGGATACAGTATTCTTGGTTCAAGGCACTTCTGTTTCATTGCATTAAGTATATCATGCCATTCTCTTCTGGCCTGTAAGGTTTCTGTTGAGAAGTCTGATGATAGCTTGATGGGTTTTCCTTTGTAGGTGATCTTTTTTCTCTCTCTGGCTACCTTTAATACTCTGTCCTTGTCTTTGATCTTTGCCATTTTAATTATTATATGCCTTGGTGTTGTCTTCCTTGGGTCCCTTGTGTTGGAAGTTCTGTGGGCCTCCATGGTGTGAGAGACTATTTCCTCCCCTAGTTTGGGGAAGTTTTCAGCAATTATTTATTCAAAGACACTTCTATCCCTTTTTCTCTCCTTCTTCTGGTACCCCTGTAATGCGAATATTTTTCCTTTTGGATTGGTCACACCGTTCTCTTAATATTCTTTCATTCCTGGAGATCCTTTTACCTATCTCTGCCTCAACTTCTCTGTATTCCTGTTCTCTGATTTCTGTTCCATTAACAGCCTCTTGCACCTCATCCAGTCTGCTCTTAAATCCTTCCAGAGATTGTTTTATTTCTGTATTCTCCCTCCCTACTTGCTCCTTTAGCTCTTGCATATTTCTCTGCAGGTCCATCAGCATGGTTATGACTTTTATTTTGAATTCTTTTTCAGGAAGATTGGTTAAATCTCTCTCCCCAGGCCCTCTCTCGGGGGTTGTCTGGGTAATTCTGGACTGGACCAAATTCTTCTGCCTTTTCATGGCAATACAGGTAGCTGTAGGCCGGTAACAGGTGTGTCAGCTGGGAGAACAAAGTCCTTTCCTGCTTGCTGTTCACCTTGCCCTTCTCCACTGCCTGTGTCGGTTACCCACACTCCTGGAGCAGCCTCTGGATTAATCCCCTAAGCTGCCATGGGCGGGGCCACCATCAGGGTAGCCCAGAGCTCTGTGGGGAGTGTCAGGCAAGCTGGGTGTGCTCTCCTGCAGGAGCGGTGCCCCTCTGCCTGTGTTGGGCAGCTGCGCGCTGCCAGTGGCCTTTGGGTCTAGCCTGAGTGGCTGCACGCCGGAAGGATTTTCTGGGCAGCTGCTGGCAGCAGGGCCGCTCCCAGGCTGCTCCGCCGCCACCGCGGGCACGCGCAGCCGCTCTCAAGCTACTGGGCTGTTGTGTCAGGGGCTGTGCCAGCCAGAGGAACAGCTGGCAGGCTGCTGATCGCTGTGAGGGGCTTCAGAGCTGTGCGGCCACATAGGGGGTTAGGGCGCCTGGACTTCCCTGGGATTCCCAGCTGCTGGGCTGTGTGTGCCGGGATGATTCTGTCCAGCTGTGAGGTCCCTGTCCCTTTAAGACTTTAAAAAAGCACTTGCTTTTCTTTTGTCCCAGGGGAGCAGGTTGCGGGGACCGCTCTCAGATTTTGCTTTTCCATTTCCCTAGTATCCAGCACACCATGCACTGTGTGTCTGTGCTCCCGGTTCAGATTACTAGAGCTGGTTGTTTAGCAGTCCTGGGCTTTCACTCCCTCCCTTCTCTGACTCCTCTCCTCCCGCTGGGGAGCTGGGGTCTGGGGAGCACTCGGGTCCCACCGGGCCACGCCTTATATCTTACCCCCTTCATGAGATGCTCAGTTCTCGCAGACGTAGATGTAGCCTGGCTGTTGTACTGTATCCACTGGTCTCTCTTTTAGGAATAGTTGTATTTTCAAAAATATATATGGTTTTGGGAGGAGATTTCCACTGCCCTACTCATGCCGCCATCTTGGCTCCTCCTCCTCAGGTATCTTTGATGAGACATTAAGTTTCTTATCAGTCAGTCCTCTAGGTCTAAATTGCAAAATTAGCTTATCAATCAAGACTGTCTGTCCTTCCTCTAAGGTGGGTAGAGTTATTTGTTTGTTAAAGAGTATCTTAAGAGTCTTCCTAAACTTCCCAGGTTTTCTTCAAAATGCAATCTTGGCTTTAAGGTGGGATCTCCCTGTCTTTATTGTGCTGTTTATAGGTGGGCCTTTTAGCAGGCTAGAGTAAATCTTACAGTGATCTAACTAACTCAGTGAAGACATGGGCTGTGCTCAGATACTTCTCTTTATCTGGGGAATATTCAAACATTCAAGGCCAAGTTGCGCTTGACCTTTTCAGCTTTAACTGATTAACTCTATCTTTGAGTCTTTTCTGGATTTCTAGTTTTACTTGGTTAACTGAGTCCTTTCTAGGGGTTTTACTGACCTTGTTCTCTTACCACCTCTCTCATATCTATTTTCCAAGCCTAACACTTGTACTTTGCTTTGTAAAATGAAGTGGGTCTCCTTTGTTCCCTGGAGATTCTGGCCTGTCCAAATGGAGGTTTCCCTCCGCCAGCCTGGGCTGTGGGAGTTTGCATTTCATTCTACACTCCCGACACAGACCTACTGTTTCTTACTATGTTTTGCATTTTCAAAAAGAGAAAAGAAGAACCATAGAATATATTTAACATATATATTAGTATCTTAAAATTGTAAAACCTGGCGGGGAAAAAGAAAGGGGGCATTACAATTAGCATGTACAGTGGGGGGGGCATGGGGAGGTCTGTGCAACACAGAGAAGACAAGTAGTGATTTTACAGCATCTTACTATGTTGATGGACAGTGACTGTGAAGGGTTAATGTTGGGGGGACTTGGTGAAGGGGGGAGCCTAGTAAACATAATGTCCTTCATGTAATTGTAGATTAATGATACCAAAATAAAAAAATAAAATAAATAAAATAAAATAAATTGTAAAACGTAACTGGCCACCTATGATAAATGTAGCAAAAAATTTCAGGGAAATAGAAGACTCAGAAACAATAGCTTTAATTCTAATTTTTATCATGTGTGGGTTTCCTTAGTTTAAAGATAGAAAAAGCATCATCCAGAAATAATGGATATGCAAATGAAAATATTTTCTGCCAAAATTTTCAGCTGTATTAGTGTTAACATGTATACTTATATTTTAATATGTGGATGTGAACAAAATGTAAACCTTAGTAGATCAATTCTGTGCTGTTTGGTTCATTTGTTTCTATTCATCCACTCAGTTTAGGGAACTGTAATGAGCCTCCTTTCCAGTTGACAAGAAATCTCATCTGTATATTCCTCTTGATAAATTCTAGGTTACATAAAGTGGGTTAAAACCTAGGCGCTGCTATTTATTGGATGTTTAATAAGATATCATCATAAATAAGGGAAAATAATATTGTTCTTATGGATCTTTTTTGTGTATTACACATGAGTTCATGAAAAACAGAGTAATATCTGATATATAGTAAGTGTTCTAAATGGATTCTGGTTGCCCTTCCTTGTTGCTGTGATTTAATGGACTGCATTGGCCATCACAGTTACTTAAAGCTACCCATGAATATTTCTTTGGTATTCACTGCTTTGTAATTTTAAAGTGTGGCCCTTGGAGGGAAAGTCCTTAGCCTCACTGGTGAGCCTGCTGGAAATGCAGAAAGTCAGACCCAGCCCAGAATACCTGAATCATTATCTGCATTTTAAAATGAGGTCTTTAAATATCTGGAGATCTTCAATGTTCTACCTATTACATTTGATAGGTAAACTTCTAATGCACCACGACTTTGCCATTGAGAAATATATAGAACTTAACAGGTAAGCTATCAATTTAGCACATAGAAATACACATGCTTGTATTGATTCCTCAGTTATACATTTATCTCCCATATAATTAATAGTGTCTATAGTGGTCCTGTGGATTTATATCATCCTCTTTCCCCAGTGTTAAAGGAGCAATATGGAATATTTGTTGAAAATGATTCACGTCACTCGACCAATCCCAAACCAGTTTTCGTTTTGACTCAGCTTGTGACTCTGTTCATTGCCACTTGGTAAACGTGGTTGTTTTTGTTCCTTTGTTCTTTACACATCAGGGGCTGCTGACCTTCGGGGACGTGGCCGTCCGGTTCTCCCAGGAGGAGTGGGAATGCCTGGCGCCTGCCCAGCGGGCCTTGTACAGGAGCGTGATGCAGGAGAACTACAGCAACCTGGTCTCTGTGGGTGAGGATTAGAGCTTCATTCCAGAATTCCTTATCCAAACTTAAAACATTTATTTTGCTACTTTACAGAACAGCTCCCATAAATTTCTGCTTTATATGAAAGTGTGTCAGCTCCCTGAATTCAAAGAAAAAATTTGGGTTTTATTGGTGTGGGAGCATTTTCCCTGATGTATTTTGACTTTTCTGCAGTGATTTGCATCCTAGGCTCATGTTACTTCCCGAGTTCAGTGGTGTAAAGTAGTGTTGACCCCATCTTCAATTCTAAAATCCACACTGTGCTGAGAAATAGCAGGGGAAACCGAAAGAGAAACAAGTTCTTTATTTGGGATCTTAGAATTGCAGTTTGTGGAGCACAGATGGAGCAGCAGCCAGAAAAACTGTCCCTCCTGTGCAGGGAAGCAATGTATTTTTATCAGAAAGGAGTGGGTGGGGTGCAGTTTCATGACCTGGATAGAGGAAGACAAGGAGATAAAGAATTATTTACTGCCGCTAAGAGGCTGAGCTGCTTCATCAATGCTTTGTTGACTAACTTATTGCAGCCTGTGTTGGGGAGTTTGGTTCAGAGACCTAGGGGAGTCAGAGTACAAGGAGGAAGGAATTTGTTAAAGCGAGAGTGTCAGGTAATGACAATAGAATAATAAAGGAAGTTAATTGAACTGCTACTCAGCATGGGGCACGTCCCCTTCTTACTCCTTAAGCCAGTATCCCCTGGTGTCCAGTGTCTGCTTGGATTGCACACCATGGGAACCAAGTCCCTACCACCGTGTGCTTCGGGGGAGCCACAGAGCACTGGATGGAGTGAGATTATGTACTGCGTATTTCCTATAGGTGAAGAAAAGAGACTTTCAGGCAGGCTACTAAAGAGTATGACTGTGAGCTGCAGTTCTTGATCACCTAGGCAACAGTAATTTGCAAGCCCAAATCTGAGCTCTCAGCAGCCCCTCCTTACTTGTCTGAGATAGGACAGAGTGAGTGTTTGAGCTGAAATCTGGATTAGAATGGGCTTTCCTTTGTATGTGATCTTATCTCTCTCTCTGGCTGCTTTCAATAGTCTGTCCTTATCCTTGATCTTTGCCATTTTAATTACAATATGTCGTGGTGTTGTCTTCTTTGGGTCCCTTGTGTTGGGAGATCTGTGCACCTCCATGGCCTGTGAGACTATCTCTTCCGCAGATTGGGGAAGTTCTCAGCTATTACCTCTTCAAAGACACTTTCTAACCCTTTCTCTCTCTTCTTCTGGTATCCCTATAATGCGAATATTGTTCTGTTTGGATTGGTCACACAGTTCTCTCAATATTCTTTCATTCGTAGAGATCCTTTTTTCTCTCTGTGCCTCAGGTTCTTTGTTTTCCTCCTCTGGTTTCTATTTCATTTATCATCTCCTCCATCATATCCAACCTGCTTTTAATACCCTTCATTGTGTTCTTCAACGATTGGATCTCTGACCAGAATTCATTCCTGAATTTTTGGGTATCTTTCCATACCTCCATTAGCATGTTAATGATTTTTATTTTGAACTCCCTTTCAGGAAGAGTCACGAGGTCCATGTCATTTAAATCTTTCTCGGGAGTCATATTAATAATTTTACTCTGGACCAGGTTTCTTTGGCATTTCATATTTGTATATGGCGCCTTCTAGTATCCAGAAGCTCTACTCTCTGGAGCTGCTCAGCCCCTGAAGCAATGTCGGGGGTCACAGGGGAGCGGTATTGGTGTCTGGGGGGAGGAAAGAGCTGTTTCCTGCTTCCTGGCTGCTATGCCTGCCTCCACTGCCTGAACCAGTGGGCCGAGCACACAGGTATAAGCTTTTGTCCCAGAGCAGCCAGATATGGATCCCTGCTCTCCACAAGCAGCTGGAATCCCAGTCTCCCCAGGAACTCCACCTGTCCCAGCTTTCCAACCCCGTAATCATGAGAGTATGATGAAAGCACCATGAAATACAGGTTTGTGCTCCGAGAGCAGATCTCTGGACTTAGGTATCAGCAGTCCTAGGCCTCCACTGCCTCCCCACTCCATTTCTCTTCCTCCTGCCTGTGAGCTGGGGTAGGGGAAGGGCTTGGGTCCCGCCAGGCCACAGCTTTGATACGTTACCCTGTTCCCTGAGGTCTGCCCTTTTCTCCAGGTGTATGCAGTCTGATGCAGTCCTCTTTCCTGTTGCTCTCTCAGGGTTAGTTGTATTAATTATGTTTTCGTATTATATGTGTTTTAGGAGGAAGCCTCTCTCATCTCTCACGCCATCTTTAATCCTCCCAATCTGGATTAGAATGAAAAAGCAAAGTAACAAAGACAGTTACCACTGGAAAAGTGCAGAGAGAAAATGTTTAAGTTGAGCAATGAGAAGTTTAAGGCAAAAAGGAGCACACTTGGAGAAGGGACTGTGGGCTGCCCCAGACAAGAGGCACCCTTAAAAGATTGGGAAAAAGTCAAACATGCACTTAGAAAATGCTGGCGACCTCAGAGTGAGGAGAGCCATGATAGGTTGGGGTTGCCCCCTTTTAAGAATATTTCAGGAATGTGACCAAGGGCTGGGGATGCGGACTTTTTAAGTGGCCCCCAAATGTTTAAAATTAACACAAGAAATTTACTGCTCTGATGTCTCACTGAGATACTGGCCTCTTGATCTGGGAGCATATCAAATAAGATGACCTGCTCTGCCCCAGAGGTGTTTGCTAAAGAGTAAGTTAAGAATCTTTCTTCTTAACCTCCTGGGTTTCAAAATGCAATCTTATCTTTAAGATGGAATCGTTCCTGCCTCTTACTTTGTTGTTTACTGCTGGGGCTCCTTGCTAAATTAGTTGCCCAGGTTGTAAGTTACTGATTAGGGCTGAAAGAGTAAAAAAAGCATATAGGTAAAGTTAAAAAATAAGGTGGGCCTCTGTCTTGACAATGGGTTTCAGCCCCAGGCAACTTCACTATGGATTCAGTGTGACCAAGGAAATGACAATAGAACGTTCTTGAGGTTAAAGGGTTATACCCAACTTTATTTCCACAGTGGCAGGTCAATCACTAGAATCCCATCAACTCAGAGTGAGTCTGTGTGCATCAAGCCAGTCTCTGCCTCTGGGCCTCTGTGCATGCACAGCCATTCCAGTCTCTGTCCTCGGTGCTGCCACCACTCCATCCTCTGCTCTGCTCTGCTCTCCTACAGCCTTGCAGCCATGCCACTAGGTAACCCAGAGCCCTGGGCAGGGCTCTATATCGAGTCAATAAGGATACTGCCCACACATATGTAGTGAGCTAGCCAACCAGGGCCAGCTGAGAATCCTGGCCACAGGAACCTTCACTTTATCCCTCCACCCCTCCTGGTTTCTCATCTCTCAGTCTGTGTGCCCTCAATTCTCTGCAATGGTCCCTGTGCAAGAAAGCTGGAGCATTGTAACCAAATACCCTAATAACAACAGAGGATACAACAATATACAACTAACAAAAATGACAACAAATTATAATAACCCTAAAACCTGAGGAGATTTATTGCCACCACGTGGTCATCCTAGCTGTATTCTAACCAGTTCTACTCAAAGGAGTTAACCAAAGGACCATGGGTGAGCCTTACAATACCCACCTTTCTCTAGCCTCTTCAGCAAAAAGTCTTGCAGACACACAGGCCTCTCCTGTTGCTTTGTCTCTGCCTCTGTTTCGTCCTCAGCAGCTGGAACCTCCGCTCTGGTCCTAGTCACTGCCACAGCTCTAGGCATTCAATTTCTGTCTACTCCTGTCTTTTCAAACCAGCCCACATCTGGGTCCTCGTGACCTTCCTGGGTCCCTTTAAATTCTTCCTTTGAGAAACAGACCATATTTTTTTTGTGCTTGAACCTGAGGCTAGAATCAGAGCATGGGGTGCTCCACAGCCTGAGGAAAGGGCTGCACATCTGGAAGAACCCACGTTTGCCAGGTCCTTCTGTCCACCAGCTTTCAACCAGGTGGGGTCTCAATGGAGGAGGGGCTGATACCTCTGGGACCGGCAGGGCCTCCACCCACACCTGTCCGTCACACCTCCGCTCCTCCATCTCTGGGGCTGACGGCTCCACCACATCCTTCACCTGTCCCATCGCACCTGGCGGCCTGCGTGCTGCTGCTTCTCCTGCTGCTTCCTCTGGGGCGACCACGACATCCTTTACTATTTCCACAGCTCTTCGCAGAGATGCCATTTAAATCAACAACAATTTTTTTTTCTCTTGGGATGGACCCCAGTCCACCTCTTCACAGTACCACATGTCCACATGGGAACACTCAAGTGTCTACCCGTCCATAGGTGCCGCCTGCTGAAGTACTCCTTCCATCAGGGCAGCCTGTTCTTTTCCTTGGTCACCAATGAACCCTGCCAACTGTCATCAGTTGTCTTGCCAAAGGGGTTTCAGCCCTGGACAAGTTCAATTTGAATTCAGTGTGACCAAAGGAATGACAATAGAACATTTTTGGGGTGAAAGGGTTATATCCAACTTTATTTCCACAGTGGCAGGTCAGTCACTAGAATGCCATTCACTCAGTGAGTCTGCATGCAGCAAGCCCGTCTCTGCCTCTAGGCCTCTGTGCCCACACAGCTGTCCTCTGGGCCTGTCTTCCGGCACAGTCGCCCCAGTATCTGTCCTCGGTGCTGCCACCACTCCAGCCTCTGCTCTGCTTTCCTGCAGCCTTGCAGCCATGGCACTGTGTCACCCAGAGCACTGGGCAGAGCTCTTTATATAGAGTCAATAACGATGTTGGGGTAGAGGTGGGTATTTTCCTCGATTCTTGTCCCTGCTGCAACAGAGATTTGAAGGGCAGAGACACAGTAGTGAAAAAGAGTAAAAGTTTTAGTTAGAAAGTGCAGGCAACCTCAGAGAGAGGAGTGCACTGAAAGGTTAGGGGTTTCCCCTTTTAAGGATTTTTCAGGAATTTGACAAAGGGCTAGGGGTGTAGACTTGTTAAGTGGTGCTAGATATCTTTGATGAGACATTTAAGTTTCTTATCTGTCCTCTAGGTAATTCTGCAAAATTAGCTTAACACAAGAAATTTACTGCTT